AACATTGAAAACGAGAATATCGGTTGGAAACCGAATACTTATCGATCGATAGTTAGGGGATCCCCCAAAACAGAAACTGCAGTTTCGATTCATCCGCTCGTGTAACTTGCGCACTGCGCATCGCACACACACACTCGGCGGGTCTCAAAATTCTCTCGCTTTACAAAAATCTAGATCACTTAATCAATAATTGATTGATAACTCGCTAATTATACGACATAATTCGCCCAAAATCAATAGGAATCTGGTCCGAGATAAGATGAATGCACATGCAAAATCTGGAGCAGATTCAATCTCGCTTTCGTGAGATATCGCGTGCATCTAACAGACACACACACACACAGACAGACATACATACAAATACCTATCAATATACTTACCGATCTTAAGATCGATAAGTAACAAATCTGTGTTGTTGACTGTGATTTGTGGCAAGTCAGCAATCTGGCAATATAGAAACTCCATAAAATATGATGGTATTTATGGGATGCAATGCAATTTGAGAGCAGTTTTTAAATGTAAAGTATTGGGGTGCATGGATTTGATGGACAGTGGATGCAGAAATGATATTATGCAAGATCAACACATTGATGAGGTTTTAAATAAATCCATCATGCTATTATATCAAGTTTCCAATGCAACCACTGGCCATCTCATGACAATATGTAACAGATTTTATGTATCAGATTACCGTATTTACTAATTTGTGTAAAATGATTACATAGATGGAAAATGTAGAAATCACCTATGGCATGATTCTAATTCTTCAAAAATTTTGTTTTTTTTAAAATAAAATGCTAATGATGGGTTAATTAATATTTATATTATATATTATAACTGATGATAATGGGAAAATTATGTCTCAACTTCATGCACAAATGGACATACTGACATATGGAATTAAATGGTAAATGTATCTGGTCTGAATTATTTAATATTTGTCTTATCTTTTCATTGTATACTTATTCATTGTATGAAATCACCTAAATTACATCACAAAAATAAAATTTGGACCCCATGCAATAATATTGAAATATATATTTGGATACACCAAAACTATCATTTGTATAAATCCGATTTGGCAATGGATTTGAATTTGGCAAAAAAAAAAAAAGTTGCTGGCGGACAGACAGAAATATACTAGTTAAATTATTGAAAAAAATCTGGATTTAGAAAAAACCTCATAAATTGGATAATCACCCTATATAAAAATGCTTCTTCAAAAATAAATGTGAATGGATATTTGACAGAAAAAATTTGGATGCAAAGAGGTGTGAGGCAGGGCTGTCCCCTATCTCCATTGTTATATTCATTTCAGAATTAATATCATCAAATATAACAAGGGACAGAGAAATAACTGGATTGAAGAACTGCATAAATCAAAGAGAAGTTTATAAAGGATTTGCAGATGACATAACACTGACCCTTGAGTCATTGTCATCTGTAGATTCAGTGTTAAAATTAATGGGATTATTTCGACGTGGCACTGGTCCTAAAATAAATAACAACAAATGTACATTGCTGATATGTGGAACTGCTCGAAGTTGGCAGTTGAATGAAACATATAGGGGTATAACTGTAAAACGTGAGGAGATTAAATTACTAGGGGTATATATTGGAAATACCCATAGGTCTAGAGATAAAAACTAACTGGTTGAACATTTTGGCAAAAATACAAAAAATTGTAAATCTTTGGAAAGGGCGGAATCTAACTATTGTTGGAAGAGTTCTTATAGCTAAAACATTGCTACTATCAAAATTATGGTACATGGTCAGTTTTGAATTTATGCCAGAAAAATATATTCAGAAATTGGAAGTAATTATTTGGAAATTTATTTGGAATGAAAAAGCGCAAATGATCAGTAGGAATATCAGTTGTAGTGAACAAAATGAAGAGGATATAAAAATGATGAACGTTAGGAATCAAAATAAAGCATTGCAAATTGCTTCAGGGGGATATGAGTTCTTGGGCTAATAGAGCAAAATTTTATGTGAATAAGTATTTTGAAGTGTTGTCAAAAGGTAATTTAGAATGTTTACATTTGAATTTTAAATTCGAAACTAATATCAATGTTCCAAAATTTTATACCAGTATTATTAACTCATTCAAACAAGTTAGCTTAGAATGGAATCAGCCACAAAACTATGCAGAAATATCACAGGAAATTATTTGGCACAATCCATTAATCTTAGATAGGAATAAAACTGAACTCACTGCAATATTAAGCTGTGTCCAAGCAAAAATAATGACAGTTGGTGATATACTTGACAAAACGCTTGATAGCCTATTCAAAATAATTTATCCGCAATTACAAAATATTACAATGAGTACGTTTAGGAGAAGTAGTTTATTAATTGGCTTTTGCAAAGAAAGAAAAAACGGTGCATTTTTGACCAATCACAATGAATATATTAAAAATAAGTTTCAACTAACCAAGTCCATTAATTGAAACAAATATGAAAATCAACATAGGAAATAGGCATAAGGAGTTGTGTTGGAGGGTTATTCATAATGGACTGCCAACAGAGGATAAAATAAAACACTGGTTCATTAATGAACCAGGTATATGTTTAATGTGTGAAGATAATACTGAGGAATCGTTATGTCATTTATTTTTTAGAGTGTGAGTGAACCATAGAATTTTAGCAATGGTGTTGCATACAAATATTCAGAATACTATTTTAGCAAGTTATTCGTAGTGCAAATCTAAATTAATTACAACAATATGCGGAAAATCAACAATTTGGGAATATCGAAATTCAGTAAAATATGATGCAATAGTTAAAAGTAAAAGTAGTATGCGGTCAATATTCAAATGCAAACTGATAAGAATTTTTTTAAATTTATTAAAAACAAGTGAAAGAGATGATTTGTTACTGTATGAACACATGGATGATCTCATTCTTAGATCAATCATGATGTGACATTTTCTATGCAACACCAACTTAAATGCAGATTAAATGAAAATATTTAAATGTCTGAATTTTAATGAATAGAAATGTGCCAAAAACCCACTTTGGTTGTCTTCTGAATTTTCTGTCTTTTTTTTAAATTTCCATGCAAAATTAACTAATTAATTAATGATAAATATAAAATGTGTGCACGAATTGGGTGATGACTGTATGATAATATGGTTTAAAACGTATTTTTATTTTAATCGTTCACTTATTTATTTGTTACTTACCTTATTTGAACTTGTGGGGAATGTGTTTGAGATTATAAAACTGTTTAATTAAAAAAAAAAAACTGAGGCAACTAATTTGACACTAAAATCTCTATACGAAAATTCCGTTTCCCATTGGAATTTATTTGGCAAAAAAAAAATAAAAAATTTAACTTTGTCCTTGAGTTCTGCTCGTCCTCAAGCAACATGGGTGATAACTTTTTGTGGCTTTGGAGCCAGGCCACTCAAAATGGACCAGGCCACAGATAAAATGGGGTTAGGCCACGTACAAAATGGGGCCAGACCACGGGAAGTTGGGGCCAGGCCACAAAATATTTTGGGCCAGGCCAGCGCATTCTTATTATTTTCATCTTGTACAGATGTACTGGTACCCGTATTTGTTTAGTTATATTTTGTTTATAGGTAATTGTGTAAACTTGGTAATGTTACGACATGTACGGTACCTGTACAATTGAACCGTATGCAGGTATGTTACAACCCGGTAAAATGATGTATTCGAACACTTACTCATTACAAATGTTTGAATGTATTACTTATGTGAGGGAGTTATATTGCTTGCTAGTTTAATTGTGAAAATTGGATAAAGGAGTTAACTTATATTATATTTATTGCTGGCCTGATCACTGATCTGCTGATGCAGACCGTAAAGTGCAAGATTGCAGCTGAAAATACGGTTACAAATGAAAGCTTTTCTGTCATTGTGTTTGTTGTTTTAAAATTAATTTTTGAAGCCGGTATCGAACTAATAGTAAAATACTTCCGTACTGGATATATATATGCTGATATCCAATAGGGTAAGGTGGGGCACGTTGGGACATGGGGCACAGTGGAAAATCAGCTCTCACACTGATACTATATCCGGAATCCTGTCCACGGTTCGATGTTTCAATCCGCCCTTTGGAGCGTTACAACATCCCGCGAACGGACAACGGACGGGTAGAGCGGCGCAGGGCTATGGGGTGAAAGTCGTTTTGGGAGGTTGAAACTAAAATTTCATCATCCCAGTTTTTTCATTTTTCTACTTTAGCCTTTCCAACATGACAAACCACCGTCAGATATTTTTCAGCTATAGTGCATTGTAAAATATTCATAACGTTGTCGAGTGGATGTGCTTTCCGAATTTCGCCGTGGATGGTCTGAAAATATTTGTTTCCTATGGGGAACAATGGACCGGGGTTCAGTGGGACATGCCCTACAGGGCACAATTCGACAGTGTTTGATACAATAAGTGCCTAGAGACCTAGAGATGCGGTATATTTTGTGTAATATTAAGGTTTCTCTAGACCCCATGGCCCAATATGGAATATATTCGAGAATCAATAATATTTCCAGATTTAGATTCGAGGAAGGAAATAATCAAATTTGTTTGCGAAATTTTTTGTTAAAATATCTGAAGTATTTCAGTTGATTTTTAAAAATATTAAATCTTCAAATTTGAAGTCTTCCTGTTCTTTAGACGATTATGCTGATTAATTGCTTATTTTTAAGGGCATACTTAGTTGAATTTTCGACAGACTGACCCATTGTGCCCCAGGGTCTGTCCGAATGTGCCCCACAAGTGGGGTACAGTGGGACACTTGACAGACGTTTTTCAAAGCATTTGAAAGTGTGTCGCAAGAGAATTTCTTAGTCGCTGAATGAAAACTACATTTACCCCCTCTATGCATTAGTCCCGCAAACTTAGGTGAATATGCAGAATTAACGGCTCAAAATATGCAAAAGAAAAAAAGTTTCCCAACCTTCCCCACTTTCCCCTACTTCAATTTTGTTTCAGTGTTGGTATTTTACGTAAAGTTATACATTCTAATATTTTAATTTGTTGTGCCGATACACCTGCATCACTGTCAGGTTGGTTGGATGCAAATTATGAAGTTTGGACATGGAATATAATGGAGCATTCGAAGGGTCCAAGTCAGAAATTCTAGAGAAGTTGTCGAGTGGAAGTGAATGTCCTCTTCGTCATCCTAAAACTGAGATTGTGCATTTGGGGAAGCATTTAGAAGTAATGCATTTAAATAATGCCATTTCATTTTTAAAACAGTCAGTTAGCGAGTTTTATAAATTTTAATTTGTTTGTAATACTGAACACCAACTAACTTATTTTCGTTTTTTTTTCAGTGTTTATCTTGCCATGTCGCCGGGAATGTTTTGCATTGTTTCGCAAAAGTGAGTCAGAAAAAAAAGGAAGCATTTTCCACTGTCCCTACTGCCCTAAAATGTACGAAAGAAGTGCTCATTTAAAAAGTCACTTATCCTCTCAAAGAGGTAATATATGTATATCAAATGGAATATTTCTATTTTCATTAGAATCAAATTTTGGTGATATATTTAGTAATAAGTTGGTATAAGACTGGAGTTGAATTGCAAGTTACTTCAAAAATACATCCCTTATCTATTACAAAATCATTGACAATGTTATACTCAGCCTCATAACGTTATTATATTTATAACCGTGAATTATTCATGCTGATATTTTAAATTGAGGAAAATGCTGTAGTCAAAAATTGGAATGTAATCAAAAAAGCGGCGTGAAAAGCGATGGAATCAAAAAAAAAGGAGGTTGAAAATACATTGTTTTCGGTCATACCGGAACAGTATGGTCGTGCGAAAACAAAGAAGAAAATTGAATATGGTGATTCATTTATATTTGGCATTTGTTTTTCAAGTTGCTAGTTGAATAGTAATCAAGCTGTTATATTAGACTTCAAAAACTGTATTGGAGATTATATTTTTTACGTAATAGAATTTGTTTTGAGACTCTAAATTATATTATAACCTAACAAGTATATAATTCACAATCATTCGTTCAATGGGTCTCTAAATTGCTTATTATTAGACAAATGGCAACAGAACGTAAAAAAGTTGATGCTGAGTGCAAATGGTTTAATGGTGCAGAAAATATTCAAATGATCAGTCTTCGCGCGTTTCTTAAAATATAACTAAAATCTGTGTGAAAAAATATGATTCATTGGCTATTCCCCTCGGTTTTTAACTTTCTAAAAACATGAGCAGCCCGCCAATGACTTGCAGCCTTTAATTTTGGCCCACGAACAACAAAGTTTGCCGACCCCTGCTTTATACAATTTAAACAGAATTACATATTTAAAGGAGAATTGTGGGTTTTATACTATTTTTTGTGAAGACTTCTCATTGTCAGTGTCATTGAAATATGTTTGAGGCATGTCATTGTAGTATCATGACTAAATGTTTTGAAATTTATGTATTTTTAGATGCAAGTGCTATGTATCAATGCTGTATATGTGGAAAGTGTTTTGTCAACTTGGTTTCGTTGAGAAATCAAGGACAGATTTAACATAAAATTATACAAGTAAAACATTCATGCATATGTGTTGATTCCGCAAATGGAATCTACATGGTAGCTCAGTCAGCCGGTTTGCTGGCACCAGTTCATGTTCAGAAGCATTTGAAACTTGGTGTCAGTAGGTGTTCTAATAGTAATTGTCAAGTACCGGCAACACTCTGCACTATCATATTTGAGGCGAATAAATATGATAGGTGCAGAGAGGTAAGAGCTGTGCTTAAAATTTGTTGAATGCTTGCAATGATAAATGTTGTCCCCTTGCTGTTCGTCTTGACTTCGCTACTCTTGGTTACAAAGATAGACAAATATACTTTTCCGTTTTTGAGGAAACAGCGCAGTATTTTTCAAAATTAGGTCGAATTCACGAAATTTTAAAGTGGAATTTAGCATCGAATGATGCAGAACTGTTCAAGAAAACCAGGTATGTGTGATAAATATCAGGCGTTGGGCATTTTTTTATGTCGATTTTATTTCAGTATTCCCAGTATTTGAGTGAATTATCTCCAAACAAACAATTTCTGAGATGGATGTCCTTTCAATGAAGTATTTGATGTCTAAAAAAATACCTTTCGATCATTTGTCGAGAATGATAACGCATTTGACTGAATTACCTCCACCTGATATTTTCTGTCTTCCTGAAAATCATTGCCCTCACTGCCAAGGTGATTTGATGATATTTTGAAAGGAAAAAAGGCAACAGTGTACAGTCAGGGTCAGAAGTGGAATGGCGAGATTACTACTAATACAGTGATTGCAAAATTATTATCGTGAAAGTTTGTTCAACTATTTTTGTACTTTGCTTGATGACTCTGGTAATCAAAGTTATGAATTTAATATTTTTTTTATCTCAGGAATTACCATAATGAATAAAAAATGTGTATCATGTGGATTGATTGTTAGATTCCAAGAGTAACAAAGTGGATTCCATAACTTCAATAATAGATTCTTTCATTAAAGCTATGTGTCTATTTGATGAAAGGAGTGGAAGTAGGTTTTCTATTTTGTTTTATCAACTGTTATCTTAATTGCCCGTAGTCCTTGCTTGTGAGTAAACCTTGTGTATAGGGTGCCATCCATTTTGCCAACCTTTTCCATTTATTTACCGGTTACATACCTAAAAAATATCTAATATACTGCTGTGTGTCTTAGATGTCAGTCATGTTATTGTTCTGAAAAAAAGTTGTGATAATATGATCGTGATTATTTCTATGAATTCCCATACAAAATATAATAATTATACTTATAATTAGATTGATAATTAACTGAGATAATTACTTAAATAGATACAATTTAATAGAATCCTAATCATGTAAAAGTGCCACAAATCAAATTTTATTTACATTTGTTCGTAGATGCATAACATAAAACAGAGTGAATTGCAAAAAATTCCAGATCTGATAATTTGCAACTATATTATCCACTAGAGATGTACCACACCAATTGCTTCATAATATATATTTCCAGATGCCAAATGTTTTTCGTATTCAAGGGTAATGAGAAATCTTTTTCCATTTCCAGAATCACTTATCTGTTGGTACTAGTCTAAGAACATTGTTCGATGACTTTGTGGAAAAACAACAATAAGAAATGGTTTTTATCACTTTTGTGCATTACTCGATATTGATTATGATTTCGCATGTTACAAATGTGGGTCTAATCCCAAGGTGTTGATTGGAGACGGCAATTGGAAGAACACATGTGTCCGAGAAGGTAACTCACACTCTTAATTGCACCAGGCATTGAATCACAATAGTAGATGTAACCTTTGTATTTTACATTACTATCTACCCCCTCACACTATAATAAACTTGCCACACATGTATTTTGCTATGCATTTTTGTTTGTTTATGCTATCGTGCAATGTTATGCTGTCATTTGATTCTAACAATAGGAAACCAACATACGGACATATGGTATATAGAAGCACCATTCTTTAACCTAACCATGTAAATATGATTGCATTATAACAAGTGCAATATGCATTTAAATATAAGGCACTGAATAAGGCATTAAAAATCATAGCAAAAAAATTTGGACAAATGACTAGATAAGTTTGCATTGCGAAAGTTAGAAATTTCGGCACCTTCTTAGATTTTGGCTCAATGTTATTCATTGATTATAAAACTTTGATGCTAAAAATAAATGTTATTTTAGTAAAATCTCCACAAAGTTCTATCCCCCAAGAAGATGGAGTTGACTGCCAAAGATCCTGGTCAAACTATCAAATGGAGATTCGGGGACGTGGGATTTATGGTATGATCTGTATTCGTTTTTTATACTCATGATATTATAGCAATGAACTTGTATTCAGGAATCAGGATCACAATGTAATCCATGAAAAAATAATGTTAACTGTATTTCTGGCAACTAGCATTTTCCCAGATGGTTGAGCATGACCTTTGATGTCATCAGTCTCAGGTGACTGATCATGACCAACCATCTGTGAAGGTGGTGTTTCTTATATCTGTACGTGTTACTTTGGTTATTGCTTTGGACATTTATTGCTGTTTGATTAAAACATTTATTAAATATACTTTGGATTCACTTTAACAAATGGTAGCAGAGGATGTGCAATGACTTCTCAAGGATACAAATATCCTCCTTTGTTGACGGGAGAGAAGCCACACAATCAATGGAAGAATGAGATCTCCATGTGGAGTTTAATTACAGACCTTGACAAGAAAAAGCAAACTTTAGCAGTTACATTGAGCCTATGTGAAAAAGCTAGAGAAGTTGATCGAGAAATAAGCTCCGATGAATAGAACAGAGATGTTGGAATGCAAACATTACTTGTAAAATTAGATGGTGTTTTTGAAAGTGAGACTTCTGATAGAACTTATGAAACATACACCGAATTTGAAAATTTAGTAAGACTAGAAAATGAAAACATCAGAGATTACTCATCAAGATTTGACATAGTAAACACAAAAATGAGAAAATTTGGCATGGAGTTACCGGACACTGTACTGGCGTGTGGACTACTCAAAGGAACAAATCTTGCTTTAGAAGAAAAACAATTGGTTCTTGCAGCAGTGGACAAGTTAAAATATAAGTCTATGGGTTCGGCACTGAAAAGAATATTTGGTGAAGGAGCTTCGTCGTCTTCTGTAGAAGTGAACAAGAGACGGCATATTTTTCGAAAAAAATTGGTAAATTCCGACAAGATCATGGCAGGCGAGCATGTCCAATGAGAAAAGATCATCATATCAGTCAATGTGCTATTTGTGGATCTACTTATCATTGGGTAAGAAATTGTTCTAGAAATTCAAAATATTCCAGAGCAAGATGTCAGATTTGCGATTCAAGGATGCATTCGGAAAATCCTGTCCACATCAGGAGCGAAAAGTAAATCATTTTTCAGAAGAAAGCAATGTGATGTCAGTTGTTAATGACATGGATGTGTTCACCAAAGATCTATGTGGATATGCAATATTAGATTCTGGGTGTACTCGCACTGTATGTGGGAAAATTTGGCTTCTTGATTATTTACAAAGAATTAAGGAATCTGAAACAGAAAAGATTCACACTGAAGATAGTGGAGGGTTTTCAGGTTTGGATGGTCAAAAGTCAATTCGTTGTATTCCATAGAAATCCCGGAATACATTGGGGACACTAAAGTCACCATTTCTTGTGACGTGGTTGATGAAAATATACCATTATTATTGAGTAAAGATTCCATGAGAAGATCAAATACTGTGATTGACTTTGCAGACAACCGAGTGGAAATGTTTCATAAACCAGTTAAAACTCTGGAGAATAAGAAGTATTACTGTGTCAGCCTTTTCAAACAATAAATCACCTACTCCAATTTTTATCACTGCAAATGAAAGCAATGAAGTTTTTTCTGAAAAG